ATAATGGAAAGACGTAACTTTAAATGAATAAATGCAAGTATAAAGATATAATTGTAAACTAAAAAAATACGATTGTAATTGAACAAATATAACCGTGAATAATTCAAAGATAAAATTCAATAAAAAGACATAACCGTAAAAAAATAACCGATTTAAACGAAAGGTTGCGATAAAAAGAAGCAACCGGTTTGATGTGCAAATGGTATTTATTAGATTGCTATTATATATATAGATTAAGTTTACAAATTAAACCGAAACCAAACCAAACTAAACCAAAACCAAAACCAAACACTTCATTTGCGTAATTTAGTTTCATACGTTGTTGTATCTATAAATAGTTTTGTTTCTCCAGCATCCATTTCATAATCCTTGTTTCACGGATCTCTCCCATCTCAAAATCCGACCCATTTACGCGTCCCAAACCGGGTCAACCCGCAATGGATAAGCCAAGCTTCGTAATCCAACCCAAAGAAGCAGAATCCGCCGCGAAACAACTCGGCGTCTCCGTACTCCGGCTCCTTCCGTCGTTGGTCAAACCAGCACAATCCTACGCTCGAACTCCGATTTCAAAATTCAACGTCGGAGTCGTCGGACTCGGATCATCAGGTCGGATCTTCTTAGGCGTCAATGTCGAATTCCCAAACCTCCCTCTCCACCACTCAATCCACGCCGAACAATTCCTCGTCACCAATCTCACACTCAACGGTGAGCGTCATCTCAAATTCTTCGCCGTCTCCGCCGCACCATGTGGCCATTGCCGTCAATTCCTCCAAGAAATCCGCGACGCTCCTGAAATCAAAATCCTAATCACCGATCCAAAAAACTCCGCCGATTCCGATTCCGCCGCCGATTCAGACGGATTCTTACGTCTCGGAAGCTTCTTGCCACACAGATTCGGTCCCGACGATCTTCTCGAGAAAGATCTTCCTCTTCTTCTCGAACCTCACGATAACCATCTCAAAATCTCAGATCTCGATTCGATTCGTAACGGAATCACTGATTCATCCGCCGATTTGAAACAAACGGCTTTAGCGGCGGCGAATAGATCGTACGCGCCGTATAGTTTATGTCCGTCGGGAGTTTCGTTGGTGGATTGTGACGGGAAAGTGTACAGAGGTTGGTACATGGAATCGGCGGCGTACAATCCTAGTATGGGACCAGTACAGGCGGCGTTGGTTGATTACGTGGCAAATGGTGGTGGAGGAGGTTACGAGAGGATCATCGGAGCGGTTCTGGTGGAGAAAGAAGATGCGGTGGTGCGGCAAGAGCGCACGGCGAGGTTGTTATTAGAGACTATATCGCCGAAATGCGAATTCAAAGTGTTTCATTGCTATGGAGCTTAAGAGAATCCATTTAATTATCGGAAGAATAAAGGAATTAAAAAAAAGGGATAAAATGTTTAATTCATATAATTGTTGAAATTGATGTGATTCTCTTGTCAATGATGTGGATAGATTTTTAAAAAATGCTGATGACACAGAGAGAAGAAGAAAAGTTTTTATTTTTACTTTAGTGTTGATGATAAATTTAATACGATTATTATGTTTATGGAGTATTCTCACAAAAAACAAATTTGTGTTGGTTATAAAGTTTGTTCCTTCATTTTGAATTTTTAATAGGATCCTATATGAAATTTTAATTCCGTCTTATGTGAATTTTATAAAAGTGACAAAGTCTCAAATCGAAACTAATGGTATTTTTTATTTTACATGTCAAGTTATGATGGTTCTTTATGTTCGCAAAAAGGCAAAAATAAATGAACAGATTGATATGCCTTTACACATTGAATGTGTTGGAATAAAGGTTCCAAATACGAAGTATGAGAAAGGAGAGAATATAAGATGGTCCACATGCAACTCCTACTATGAGTGGTGAACAATGAATCTAGATTAGTTTCAGATGGAATACTTTTTTTTTATATATACAGTATATATAAAGATAAGAGCATATTTTAGTAGGAACCTTAAAAACCTCTCTCAATTTCCTAGTTATCTTCAACTTTTACAACATAAATGCTAATCCTGGGTTGACTTCTCTCAATTCAAAATTTCTAATAATTGTGTGTTCAAGAATCAAATATATTGATAATTACTCCCTCTGTTCCTGAAAATTTAATGTTTTAGAGTTTACACATATATTAAGAAACAATCATGATTTAATCATTTAATAATTTTTTATTTTTATTAAATATTTTTAATAATGTATGAACCAATAGTAATCTAAAACAGTTAATTATTTGTAATCATTACGCCTTGAAATCTACGATTTGTTAATATCAATTAATAAAAATAAAATAAAAAGCTAGAAAATCAATCTTTGTGGAACAAACCTAAAACATTAGAACATTAGAACATCAAACTTTCAGGAACGGAGGGAGTATATGATTAGCGTAATTTTTTTTATCATGTACATTTGTAGAGGCCTTTGCTAACTATGAAAGCAGGGAATATATACTATATAGAAGTGTGAAAGTATAAATCACATTTGGAAAACAAGTGATAATAGGATCATCTAGCCGTTACAAAGATTCGGGATCTTCTCAAATTATATAAATAACACTAAATCAGTTTTGTAGGTATGCGTATATAATACCTCTCCTTGTACATCTTATTGAAGTGCAAATATGAGAATTCTTATATTTTAACAAGATGGTCTACAAGAAATTCCTATAATCATATTACGAGTGATAAATAATGAATAGAATTTACGAGCTCTAGATTGAGATATGTAGATTGCTTTTGGTAAAAAATTTGGTCTCTTAAGGTAGAGTTTTAAGGAAAATGGATGTGTTTGCTTAAAAAGCCGAGAAAAAACATTGTGAAAACAAAAACGTTGACATCTTTGTTGTCTCTGCAAACACTACACGTCGCTGTTGACTTGTCATATATATTGATGCCTTTACAGTCAGAGCCGTGCCAGAGGCGGTACATAAGACAAAAAATCAAAATACTAATTATCACCCTTAGAGCATACACAATGGTAAACTTTATGTATGGGTGTGAGTATTAAAATATTCAAAAGTAAGAGAACAGTGCACATGGAATGCGTATGCGAGTGTTAGTTTACAACCGAGTGTGAGGGGCAGGTGTCTTTGTTTGGTTGGTTCTGATTGTTTTTATATTAAAAAATTGTTTTCATCTCTCCTCTCTGTTCCTTCGATGAAAACAATTTTTCATCTTTTCTCTGTGTTCCTCCTCTGTTCCTCATCTCTCCTCTCTCCTCTCTAACTTTATTTTACTAATTTAATTTGCCTCACATCTATCTTCTTGAGTGCCGCACTGCTGATGCTCTTAGTATAAAAGAAAATTGAAGTAAACATAAAATATTAATTCTGAAACATAATGATTGTATAGAAAATCGTTAATTAAATTTTCAAAATCAATATTTTAATATTTTGTGAATAGCCGAGATAGTTGAAACATCAAATCTATAAAGAAAGTTCAAATCCTTTGTTAATGAGAGAAGCAATGGTCGTCAAAGGACCTTGTGATCACCTTATTGTTTTTATTTCAGTGTTTACATTTAATTTCTAACTAATTACTAATTTTGAAAAGAAAAAAAATCTCACTAACTCGATTTATCAAAAATATCATGTTTAGAAGTGAGGAAAATATTCAAAAGCATCACGCTTCTATAGTAAAACTTTGGTTTAAATTTACATTAATATGCTATTGATTTTTGTAAGTTAAAATGGTTGTAGGCGAAGGTTTTATTTTGGCTAACGTAGCCACGGCCCTGTTTACAGTACACACGTCTTTCGGTCTTTGTTGTCTCTTCAAACACTACACGTCAATTGTTTTGTTTTACGTTTTAGGTAAAAGACATCAAAAGTGTCATTTCATGTTACAACAACTTGTGTGTAACAAATCATCATCCAATCTTCATTGGACAGAGTATGGAGTCACTTTGCATTTTTATTTCCGATGTGACAAGCTCAGAGATAATGCTTATGGTTTTATGTTGTTTCGTCAATTCTCTTATCATCTTTAATGATCAGCAAAGTTTACGTATTCCTAAAGACCTAAATTCAATGTGAACATATATAACTGAAAAAGGCCTAAATACCGGGTAACAAAAATGTAAAATCACTGAGAGCCAAATAAGTTATCAACTTTAATCACAACAAAATGCTTTTGAATAAATAACCGAAAATAAGAGAGGGGTTGATATCCACACAATTGTCACCACAAAGGCTATGATCAAGGGTGTGACGGTCGGAGAGAGATAATTGAGAATAATAGAAGGTAAAAGAATGAGGAGAAAAGCGAAAAGTGACGAGCAGCGGAAATATTCGTGATTATTATTTTTTTAAACGGATATATTTCTCTCTAATTTCCTTTTGTTTTTTAATTTGGGAGAAAAAAACTAATGTGGTGTTGTTGACCCTGTGGTAAATCTCGCAGGTAAAAAGTATTGGATTCGACGCTTATTGGAAGACATCTCTTCTCCAAAAGAGATGAATTTAATTTGGTGTAAATCCCATCTCTGAGAGACGTAGGATCCTCGAACTTGAACTTCCATATATTCAAAAAGATTGAAAAAAAAATACAAAAGCTTTTTTTTTTTTTTTTTCGTCAAATGATATCATTATATTATATGGTTTGAACAATCGCTATGCAGCGCGTTTGTTATTACATGAGGAACTAAATTATGAAAAACGAAACATGAATGAGAAGGAATCAAATGTTTGGCTAAAATATCTGCAGGCTTGTTGTTCCCACGTCGACACCATGTGAATTGACTCTCTGCAAACCTTGTCCTCCATTTTCTTGCTTCCCTCAACCAATTAAAGGCTTCAAAGTTAAGCTTCTGTCCACTGAGTAGGTCTACTACTTCCTTATTGTCACCTTCAAAACATACCCGATTGTAACCCTTGATCCAGCAATGTTGCATGGCCATAATTAACGCTTGGAACTCACTCTCGACGACGTTCCTTGTTTGATTACCTTTAGCTTGACCAGCCCCCAAATAAGTACCTCTATCGTTTCTTATCACCCAACCTGCTTGAGAAATCCTTCCATTTGAATATGTGCCATCATAATTACATTTAATCCAGTGTTGGTTTGGTGTTTCCCATCTCGATTCTGATCGTGTCTCAGAAGGAGTATGAGCTCGTGATCCTCGCATGTCTTCTGTATGTCTTTCTTGATCCTGCCATTCTTGAGCATCATCCCTCGCCTGTCTTATGATCTTCCTCCACGATGTGGATCTTCTTTGAAAACAGAGTATATTGCGACTTATCCATAATCTCCATAAAATCCACAGAGGAAAATGACGGAGATGAGAAAATCTTGTTGACGTGTTGCAAGTCATTATAGCCTTAATCTTCTCTTCCAAAGAGATATTTGGGTCTGTTAGTGAAGCTAATGGAAAACCAGACCCACGCCAAACTGCCTGTGCCATGACACAATCAAAGAACAAGTGACATGTTGTTTCCACATTGGAGCAACAATAACAACAAAGAGGTTGGTTACTCATATGTCGATAAACTAGATTGGCTTTAGTAGCTAAAGCGTCGGAGAGGAGTTTCCATAAGAAGTGCTTTAACTTCGGAGCGGTGTTGATACGCCACACTTGAGCTTTAAGATCATTATCACCCGGAGTAGAACGGATTTGTTGTTCGCTTGGGAGATGTGTCGCCAACCAGTAAGCAGACTTCACGGTGTATATACCCTCTTTTGTGTAGTGCCATCCCAATAAATCCTTCTCAGCCCCTGGGCAAATCTTAATTGACAAAACTTTGTCTACATCTTCATGTGAATCCACGCATTGACTCTGTTTGTGTCCCAGCCCGTTTTCCTTGTATTCAAAAGGTCACTCACCATTTTTGGCCCTATAGAATCTGAACTTGTCCTTGGAGACCGAGGAGGATGACAAGGTAACCACGGGTCCATCCAAGCATTTATTAGAGATCCATCGCCAATGCAAAACCTGAGACCTTTTTTAACCAAATCCCGGCCTTGTAAAATCGACTTCCAATGAAACGATGCTTTCTTACCCTGGCCTGCAGTTAGAACAGATTCATTGTGTAAACCGGCATTGCCAATGCAACGGCCTTCAATAACACCTCTTTGCCCCCCTGCGAGAGATACTTCTTACTCCAACTTTGAGTTTTATCTTTAACCTTTTCCACAATGTATTGAAAGAAATCCGCTTTCTTTTTATCAAATTGTTCTAGAAGCCCCAAGTACTTACCTCCACCCCCTTCATTGTGTATGTTTAGTAGATTGCGGATACGCCTTTTTGTATCTTGTTTAACATGATGCCCAAAGGTGATGGCCGATTTCCGGAGGTTGACCGCTTGTCCAGACACTTCTTCGTATTTATTCAATATACTCTTAATCGTTTACCAAGAACGCTGATTCGCAAGAGTAAAGAACAACGAATCGTCTGCGAAAAGTAGATGAGAGACTGCGGGAGCTTGTTGACTAACTTTGATGCCTTGTATCTTTTTATTTTTCTCTGCTTGCTTCATCATATGGGATAGAACTTCTGCGCATAGTATAAACAGATATGGAGAAAGTGGATCACCTTGGCGTATGCCTCTG